ACGTGGACTAGGTGGTCACCCTATACCCTGAAGTAGCTCTGTGTACTCCATGACGTGGACTAGGTGGTCACCCTATACTCTGTGTTATGTGTACCTATCACATGAAATTAAATGCAGCTAATGTTAGGGCTTGGTCAGGGCTGCATGAAAGTCAGATATGTTCTAATATGTAAAAATAGGCTAAGCTGCAGGGTTATATTAAATTTATGCATTATTAGATTGTTCTCTGCATATCCAAAGGATATAATGTGCATGTTGAATGAAGGACGGTCATACTGGTTAATTAACAAAAGCACATTAAGAGACATTCATTTTCTGGGGGCAAAGCTGGTACATTATGAACAGGGAATCATTCTGTTGTGAACACAAACAGCCCTCGCATTAGTGCTCTTTGCTGACCAGTGAGGTCAGGTTTATAAAAAAGCAGTGAATGCTTCGTGACAATGATATTTAAACGGGACCTTCCTGGTCTCTGGCCCTCCGATTTAAATTAACTGTTGGAGATCAAGGTCGGTGTAAATCATGGTGAAACCCTTACTGGAGATTAAAGCTGTAACAAACCAAAGATGCTCAACTTATTAAAGAAATATGAAGTGTAGACCCTGAGCCCAGCCCACAAACACAGCGGGTTCTGCTGGGTTCTTTGTGGCTGAAGCTTTTCCGGGTTTCCTGCTGCATGTTCTGGTTCTCACTGCCTGTGAGCTTAACCCTGTAAGGCTGCATATTCAGCCTTTTTATGCAGAGACATCATTCAGGAGAGACACCCTGGGCTCGGCTCGCTCACCGCTGCTTCAGTTTGCCTGGTGTTTGCTGTTTAGAGCCTGGGTGCGAATGAATGTCAGCCAATCAGGTAATCTCTGCAGCCAGAAGGTCGGCCTGTTAAGACAATTTGAATGAAAAGTGCAGGATTTTACTTATTATTCTGAGTTTGTTCTGTGAAACTTTCAAAACTTATGAATTACTCATGTATACAAAATATGCTAATTTCCCAGGAGAAATTCAGATCTAGAACCTTTCTCGAGGGTCTAACAGCAGGGTTCGCTCCTGGGATTTGAACCAATAACCTTCAGCTGAAGCTCCAAGCTGTAGGCCAGTGTGATTATTTATGTCCCTAAATCACTCGTACCCGGGGAACTTTTAAACAGAAAACAAAACCCCTTTTGATGGGAGGTATACACTGTGAGAGGGCTGACATTCCTTCTGCTGTGATGTGTACAGTCACCCTTACATGATGTGTACAGTCACCCCCACACACTGCATCAGCACTGCATCACATCTCACCAAATTATCTCTCTGCAGAATGTTCAGATTGCACCCCCCCATACACCAGTTATATTACACTAGTATAAATGCGGGTGCCTGCCCCCTTTTTCACCCCCCCTCCACACTGATGCGAGTCTGCGTTTAATATTTCATGGAACATAAAGAAGAGTCTTGCCTGAAGTGGGGGTGCGTGCAGGAGTTGCATGGCAGATACATCTGGCATCCGCACGTGCAGTAATTGTGTTTGCTCTTCTCCCACTGTCTGTCTGTCTCCTCGCCAGTCACTGTGAGTTACCGTCACGCTGGCTCTCCCATCTGACCTGCCTTAAGGCTGATTTATGCTTTTACGCTGAATCTACGACGTTGATATAGCATAGCCGTGCACCCTACGCTGTAGGCTGACGTCTATAGTTATAGTTCTGGGAAGGTGTGCATCAGATTACACCGTAGGGCAAGGTATAGGGTACTTGGCTATGCCATAGGGTAATGTGGAGGGTACGCGGCTATGCCGTAGGGTAAGGTATAGCGTACGTGGCTATGCCGTAGGGTAAGGTATAGGGTATGCAGCTATGCTGTAGGGTATGGTGTAGGTTACATGGCTATACCGTAAGGTAAGGTGGAGGGTGTACGGCTGCACCGTACTGTAAGGTGTAGGGTACATGGCTGCATCGTACTATAAGGTGTAGGGTACGCGGCTACACTGTACTGTAAGGTGTAGGGTACGCGGCTACACTGTACTGTAAGGTGTATGGTAAGCAGCTACACTGTACACAGAAGTATAAATCAGCCTTTAGGGGCCCAGACCCATAGCGACTGAGTTGATAACCGAGGGTTTCCTTCATCATCCATCCCTCTTCCTGGATTTTCAGGGGATTGATTTTAAGGATTAAATAACTGATACTTTTACATATTTATAAAGGCTTTGTTATTTTTGGATTAAGGTTTTTGCATCACCACAGCCCATGAATGGTATGGGTGAATGGACGGACAGACAGAGGCATGTTTATATATAGCAGGGGTCTCCAACTCCGGTCCTAGAGAGCTACTACCCCGTAGGTTTTCTGTCCCACTAGGCTTCTGATGAGCCACACTTGTTCCTGGTATTTACCTGAGAACAGGTGTGGCTTACCAGAAGCCGGGTATGATAGAAAACCTACTGGACGGTAGCTCTTGAGGACCGGAGTTGGAGACCCCTGATATATAGTATTTGAATGGTGCCACTAGAGATGTTTGGCCCCATGAAAGCATGGCATATTGGTACCGCAACCTGTTTTGAATCCCACCTGCTCGGTCTGTATGGGCTTTGCACATTCTCCCCATGTCATGCTGGTGAATACTGCCTGATGCTGCCTGTGGCTGGAGACCCCCTCCCCACACAGACACACACAGCCCAGCACTGATTGTGGTTTATGGAGAGATGAGAGCGATTAGCAATCTGGAAAATTCCTTAAAGGAACATCACCATCATTTATGATGTGACGCCCTTGAACTGACAGCAGCATCTACATCCCCTGTAGGTTGTTCGAGACCTTGCAGTCCTTGTTCTGGTCAGTGTTCGGCCTGCTCAACCTGTACGTGACCAATGTGAGGGCACGCCATGAGTTCACGGAGTTTGTGGGGGCCACCATGTTTGGGACGTACAACGTCATCTCCCTGGTGGTGCTCCTCAACATGCTCATTGCTATGATGAACAACTCCTACCAGCTGATTGCCGTGAGTCCCCCCTGCAGCCCCAGGGTGGCCGCACTGTTTCCTGTCTGTCTGTCTGTGTCTGTATGTTGTTTTTAGCATTTGAGCTGCAGAACCTGCCCCTGGGCTTCACCTCATTTCACCACAATTCACCTCGGGCAGCCCTGCGCTCATTTCCCCTGGGATTCACCTCGGGCGGCCCTGCGCTCAATTCCCCTGGGATTCACCTCGGGCGGCCCTGCGCTCAATTCCCCTGGGATTCACCTCGGGCGGCCCTGCGCTCAATTCCCCTGGGATTC